ACTCTCTCATCTCTGGAATTTTCTACATGTACTCTCATCTCTGTCCTTCCACCTCAGTGGAATTCATATTCATCTTTCAGGTTTCAGTTTAGAAGGACTTCCTTGACTCTAGGTCACCCCCTCCACCAGCAACCCCCCCCCCCCGCCCCCTCGCATCGTGTCCTCCTTGCTCATCGCACTGTTTTGTCATTACTTGCTTCTCATTTGTCTTCTAGGCACTGTGACAACAGATATTATGTTTATGATATAAGTCATTGCAGCATCCTCATCTCAGGGCTTGATACACGGGAAACTCTCAGCAAATGTTAATTCAATGAATGAATGAGAAATGTCCACAACAGTGATTGCATGTCTTCACCTTAAACACATTGTTTAGTTACTATGTTTAATTATATCTTGCACTGCTTCTTAGATTATAACAATTGCTAAAACTTTTTCTAACTCAATCCTCACAACGAATCTACAAAGAGTACTACTAGTGTCCTTATTTGAGAAGTGAGAAAGTTGAAGTTTAGAGAAATTAAGATACTTTCCCAAGGTAACACAGCTGGTAAATGTTGTTGCACTTCAAACTCGGGCAGCCTGGCATCACAGTCCCTAAGCTTACAGGATGCCATATTATTCAGACATTTTGATTTTGGGTTTTCTTTTTTTTTGGTTCATAATTAGCCAACTATCTGCACTTAGTGAGAGTGGCAGGTAACAACCCACACCACTTCAAACAAACATTTATCATGGTCCTGCGTAAGGAGGAGCTGCCACTTACGCTCCACTTTACCAAAGTGGAAACTAAAGCACAGGCAGGGTGACACCCTCATTGTCTAGGTCGACATCATTATCATGATAACCAGTTTACCATTTTATTGAACACATACAATGTGCCAGGCACTGAGGCAAACCCTTCCCACACCTCATCTCATTTAATAACTAATTTTTCTTTTAACTGGATTCGAACCTTATTTTTTGACTCCTACTCCATGCTTTTCTGATCGCAATGATTTGAATCACTTAAATTTGAAATAATAATGTCAAAGTCATTAGAGCTTCAATGCGATTTGGAAAGATACCTACCTAACCCTCTCATTTTCAGCTCTGGGGCCTGAGATTCTGAAAGGTCAGGTGCCTTGCCCAAGGTCAAGCAAGTGGTGGTCTGAAAAGGCCTCCTGAATCCAGGTCCAGAGCTCTCAATAAGACGTTAAATAGCAATTGCCCAAAGCACATAAATGAAAAGGCTTCAACGTCTTTTGAAACGCACTTATCTAACGGAGAGTAGTTATTTCTGCCCACAATTTATTTCCCATGATAACGCTACCAAAATAAATCATGCCCTGGAAATCACACTTTTTAGCATCCCCCTCTAGGCGCATTCTGCGGTTACGCAGGTGGCTGCGGCAGCGGGCCGGGCCCTTTGTGACTGATGATTAGGGGCCCGGCAGCTAGCCGACTGTTTACGACAGCCAGTCAGGGCTTGGAGCCACAGACCTGCACCAATCGGAGATTACTGAAACCTCAACAAGGGCCAGCTGGGGGCTCGAGCCCGCGAACAGAGTGAGCAGCGAGCAGCGAGCCTCGAGCAGCGATCAATCAGAGGGCGGGGCAGATTACCGACACCCAATCCGAGGTCGCTGGCGCGAGGCCGAGGGCCGGCCAATCAGCGGGCGTGCGGCGGCCGGCGCGCGGGGCTGGAGCGGGGGCTGGGGGCGGGGCCTATCTGCGCAGCGGAGCGGTGGGCGCTGCGAAGAGCAAGGCGGGTGAGGAGGGCTGGCGACCTGGGTACCGGGAGGGGGCAGCGTGCGCTCTTAGCTGTCCAGGGTGGGACTGGGGTACGCTGGGGTGGGGCAGTGGCGCGCGGGGCGGGAACAGGGGCACGGGATGCGGTAGGACTGACTCTTCGCGCTGCGGGATGCGGCGGGGAGAGGTAAGGGACTGAGTACCGGGCTGCGGAGGTGGCTCGCTGCAACCCAATGGCTGAGGGAGGAGGGGACACTGTTGCCATGGTAACGCACGTGTGCAGGCTGGCGACCCTTTACACAGTCCAAACGTGCGCACATCTTAAATCCGCCCCCCTTGTCCTGCTGTCCCGACCCGGTCTCCATCATCCCTAGCTCGCAAGAGTCTAAGGATGATGCGCTGGACCAGCGCAAAAATATCCTATTTTGGCAGCCGCTTCTCTTCCTCCACATCCTAGCTGCTCTCAGCTTCCTCGTCCTGCCGTTTTGTCCACAGGCAGAGGGATTAAGTTAGCTAGGGCGCTTGGTACCATAGGCCTTTGCGGTTGACCTTCTGGGGCCAGTACGTGGCCAGTTCGCAGAATGGCCACAGTTGGGGTCCAAGCGCGACTGCCTGATCCTGGGGACTGGCATCGCAGAATTGATGTCTCCTGAGGGACCAGGGGTATCCCCAGAGGGATCTTTTTAATGCATTCAACGCAGATCCTGTGTATAACAAATACTTAGAGAATGGGGTCTGACAATGAATAAGAGTAGAGTGACAGCTTTCCATTCCATGGACCAGCGCTGTCCAATAGAAATATAATGCAAGCCACATACTATGTAATTTTACATTTTTCTAGTAACCACATTAAAAAATAAAACAGGTTAAATTAATTTTAATAGATTTTATTTAACCTAGTATATTCAAAATATCAATATTAAGAGTAATTTAATCAATATTAAATTATTGGTAAGATACCTTAAATTCTCATTTTCATACAAAGCCTTCAAAATCTTGTGTGTATCTTATATTTACAGAACATATCATTTCGGACCAGCCACATTTTAAGTGCTCAGTGTTCATGTTTGGCTAATGGTTACGATATGAGACTGTACAACCAAAAACATTTCTTATATGTGTACCAGTTGTGGCCAAATACATGAAACTCATTAATATTTTTTGAAGCCCACTTATATGCAAGGAAGCACTGTGCAATGAGGCAACAAAAAATCTGAGGCATGGTCTTTTTTCTCAAGGAGATTTCAGTCCATTTGAGAAAATACATATACAGAAATTAAGTCAAATTTTAAATGAATATGATTCAAGCACTGGTAAGAATAACTCATTGACAAAGTGGCTAATAATTATCCTTAGGAATTTCAGGGAGGGGTACTTCAGGTTCATGCAGTAGAGGAAGAAGAGTCTTGAAAAGTGGATAAGACTTGGACTGCTGGGAAAGATGAGGAAGGTATTTTGGTTTAATGGAACTGATCATAGCTTCTTTTGTTTTTAGGCTTGATAATTTTCAGACTCCTGAGGTTTTCAGATTGAAAAAGAATTTCCTCTCTCACTGACAGTCTCCACCATGATCCATAGCCTTTTCTTGATCAACTCCTCGGGAGATATTTTCCTGGAGAAACATTGGAAAAGTGTGGTCAGCCGTTCTGTTTGTGATTATTTTTTTGAGGCACAAGAGAGAGCTACTGAAGCAGAAAATGTACCACCAGTTATCTCTACTCCTCATCATTATCTCTTAAGTGTTTACCGGCACAAGATCTTTTTTGTGGCTGTGATCCAGACAGAGGTCCCTCCTCTGTTTGTCATTGAGTTCCTTCACCGAGTAGTGGACACATTTCAGGTGCGTGAATGTGAGGAAGTTGATACATGTAAATTATAAAGTCTTTCTAGTTCTGTTTCCATTGTATTCAGTCTCATTAAGGAACTTTTTAAAAAATCAGAACTCTGACATTGCTCACTTCCTCTCCCATCTGATAAGATAATAGATTCTATTGATTGAATTGGCTGCATCTAAAATGATAAATTGAATGCTTTTCAACCTGTTGCATGAGAAAGCCACCTTACTTGGTATGATTGTATACAGTCATTTTACTTCTAGAGATTGGTATTGTCCTACTTTTTGTTCGCAAATCGGAGTTTAGTTTTGTTTTTTTTTCAAATATGTATATTGTGGACTTGATGCTAACCATTAGCTATGTTATTTTGAGTTGCATCAAAAAATGATGAGTGTGTAAAGATATATATATTTTTAAAAGTTTTTACTCTTCCTGGCAAGAGTAATTTGTGACTGCATACTTCATCTTGGGTTTGGGGTGCTTATCCACAGCATAGGACTACTAGTGATGAGCAAATTTAGGATTAGAAAATTTTCTGTACCCATAAGAATTTAAGGGACACATTTTACAAGATATAGTTTTCATTTTGAGGTTTTCTTTCAGGAATAGATTTGAAGATCTTGGAGAGTGAGATACAGGGGAGGTTACTTATACTAGGATGTCAGCACCATTTTGGCACAGGATTTTAGGCTGCCTAGACTCTGGATTCAGAGAGTAGAATCATCTCCCTAAAAGAATTGCTCAACTTCTAACTGTTGTGGTTATTTGCATAACTCAAATGATAAATGAGAAGCAAAGGCCCTTTATCTTCTTGTCATGCGAGGTCTGAAATTAGTCATGTGAATACAGAAATTGTGAAATTGGAGAAGAGAATGAGGACTCAGATGTTATAATAAAAATTTAAAAAGTCAAAGAGTCCTTTCATTTGCACTCATATCTACATCACATGTCTAAAACAGGCTTCATTCCAAGAGAATTATATTTTATGATTTTTCCCACAAATACTTTCTGATAGTACTATTCTGGGATTCCAGTTCTCATGTGGTATAATAGTTCCTACACAGTGAAAATCTGAGAATTATAAACCCCAATATGAGGAGAAACTATACGTAGAAAAAGCAACCCAGTAGTTACGATCTTAAACCACTCTAACTGGGCATTGTTATGATTTCCACATATGATATTTTACCTCATCCTAGGATTAACAGTTCCATTGGTGAAACTCAACATTAGCTTCAAATTACAATATTATGTAACTAATTACAGGATAGGAAGTGAGAAAAATTGTTTAATCTAGTTGAAACCCCAGAGGAATTTCAGAAAACAGTAAAGCGTCTGGTTTAGAAGTCTGGGAACTTCAGAATTTGTCATTTTTGAAGCATTTGTTAAAAGAAATGGATACATTCTGATTTTTATGTCTTATCTGATTTGCATTCTCTCTGGCTGTATTATTTTTCTAAGACTAGAATGTAATGGAAGAGTTTCAGCTATAGAAGTGCAAGAACTTTTGCTATAGCACTTTGCCATACTTACAAGTTTACTTTCCAATTGCTCAATTCACATTCTGCCTGATTTGTAAAAGATAGTGAGGTGTTTTATTTATTTTTCAAAATAAAATCACTGTTGGGAGGGAAATGCGTAACTTTTTTTTCCTTAAATCTTCATTTTTTAAGAAGAAATCTTTTGTTTTAGACACACATTCCTAACTCCTAAGTGCTCTTGGATATTGGAATGACACTGATAATTGACATCTGGTATAATTTAAATCACATCTGAAGTCTATGATCAATTTTGGATGTCATAATTTGAGGAGAATATTGGAAAACTAGAGTGTATTCAAGGCAATGGCAAAATGGTAAAATAATATAGAAACCATACCATAGCATGAACAGTGGAAGGATCAAACAGGGAATTTGTCTGTGAGAAAAAAAAATTGAAGTGGAAGCCTATAGTCGTTTTAAAATAACTCTGTGGCTGTTATATAAACTTATTCTGTAAGGTAGATCTAGGAAGCAAGTTTTAGTTTAGCAACAGAAAGAACTTTCTAATAATAGGAGCTGTCCATGAATAGAATGAGCTTTCTCAAAAAGGGTAAATTTCTCTTTGCAGGATGAGTTCAAGGAGGGTTGTATGATCATCCCCGAGGTTGAGTAAAAGACATGACTGACATTGCTAGAAGGGCAGACCAATGACTACAAGCATTTCTTTCTAAATCATTTCATCATCATGCATCACAATTTTACATACTACTTTATAGTATACAAAGCACTTTCACATATATTATCATTTCATCAATTGCACTTAGTTCTTAGAACATCCTTGTGTGTCTAATGGTATTATCCTGATTACACTATTAAAGAAAGTAAGACCCAAATTAGTTAGTATGACTTAATCAGATTTGGAATCCAGTGCTTTTCCCACAATCCAGACAATTTAGTAACTAAGTATAGCCTTTGTTAATAAATAAACAAAAAGCGTTCTTAGAATCCTAGCATTTTAGAGTAGGGATGATCCAAAAAGATCTGGTGTGCTAGCTCATCCCTCTCATTTTATTTTATCTCCCTCTCAGTTCTTATTACCTGCATGAATGTTAAAGAACAGCACAATAGTGAAGGTTAAAAAGATTTTCAGGTCCTGTCTGTCATATTAAGTATTATCATTTTGCATAGTTCTTTCAAATTCTTGTTTATAGCACATGTAATAGTTTAGATTCAATTTTGTATTCTACTTGTTTTATCTAGTCGAAGAAACTAACCCAAAGAGGTTAAATGACTTATTCTAGTTTATTTAAAAAAATTGGTAATGACACTAGTACTATAAGCCAGTCCAATGTTCTTTCTACCAAGCCAGCTGCCTAAGAGAACTATATATTCCCTATATGGCTTTATTCACTCATTGTAGAAGAGTATCCCAGAAACACTGAGTAAACGCAGTGTTTACTAGATCCCTATTCTCTAGGAACATTCTTTCAATTATTACAGTATCTGAGTGATAAATGTATATATTGTATTTTCATCAGGATTATTTTGGAGTCTGTTCAGAGCCAGTGATCAAAGACAATGTGGTTGTGGTTTATGAGGTATTGGAAGAGATGCTTGACAATGGGTTTCCGTTAGCTACTGAGTCAAACATCCTCAAAGAACTGATAAAGCCTCCCACTATCCTTCGAACAGTTGTCAACACCATAACAGGTATGGAGAAAGGGGAAACCCACAGAAAGCCAGTGCCATCATGGGTGTGGCTTAGTCCCCTATTGTGCATTGTTTTGAGTGCTTATCTTTGGGGATCTCCAATGTCTAAGTGCTTTAATTTTGCTCTTTATAAGTCTTTGAGTATGACCTAAAATAGATTTTTGTTATGTAGAAAATACCTTGATTTCAATGACAGAATGAAGTGTTCTCCTTTAAAAATAACATTTTTCTGATTACAGAAGAAACAGAGGAGCATTGTAGAAATGTTGGAAATACAGAAAAGCATAAAGAACATGAAAATAGCTCAATCTCATCATACTTTTAATATACTGATGTATATGTTTTTGTCTTTTCTAGATAGATGGATGATGGATGGACATAATTTTTTAAAAAACAACTCTTGTATATTATTTTAAATTTGGCTTTTATCAATATTTTGTGAATATTATCTCATTACGATAACTATTCTACATTATTTCTAGTGACTTTACAATTTTCTGCCATATGGTATAGACCCTGAGTTATTTACTCCGTCCTTGTTTATGATGTTTCTGACTTTTTGTTCTTTTAAATAAGAAGGAATTAGCATTCTTATACTTAAGTCCTTGTGCATATCTAGAATAATTTCTTTTCAGTACTAGAAGTAGAATTGCTGGATCAAAGGGTGTGTATATTTTAAAGACTTTCATACATTGTGCCAAATTGCCCTCCAGAAAAGTTAGACTAATTTATACTTTCAGTAGTAATTTTTATGCACCCTAGCCAACTTTTGTATTATTATTATTATTAATTTTTTAAAAACTGACCATTTGAGCTTAGTGATACCTTGTTATTTACACAGTCATTTTTTATTACGAAGGAAGTTAAAACCTGTTTAAATGTTTATCAACTATTTTTCCTCTACTGTAAATTACATTTTTGTGTCCTTTGCCCACTTTTTTTTTTGAAATGTTTTTCTTAGTTCATTCTAATTTAAGAGAATTCCTTTTATTTAAGGATATTAAACTATCATATATTGGAAATATACATGATAGTTTGTAGGAGTTCTTTATATATTTTGAAAACTGTTACAGATATTTTCTTACAATCCATCACTTGTCATCTGACATTGTTCATGATGTTGTTTGTTTAGCCACATGTAAAATTTTTTGATTTAGTAAAATTAATCATTCTGCTTTATTAAGGTTTTACATTTGGGTCTTGCTAAATATATAAACTGGATTTACATGGAATTTGACATACTGATTAAAAATACATTTTAAATGATATAAATATGCTATAATCACTAGGATAAGTATGAAAAAGAATTACAAAGAGATTGGAAAGATTTGCCATGTCAAACATCAAGATACATTAAGTTCATCTGGTACATAAGACAAAAACCCGTAGAATAGATATGCCATAAAAACCAAGACAGCTTTGAAAATAAATGTTAAAGAGAGCAAGGGAGAGTGTGCCCTATCAAATACAATATACATTATGAAGTTTTGGTAATTTTAAAATTATAGTATTGGCCCAGAAATAGACAAATAGATGATTGAAATAAATTAGAAATTCTAGAAAAATACCCTTGCTTTTATGGGAATTTGCTATAGATAGATGTGGTCACATATCAAGTCAGTGGTCCAGGGGCCAATTGTTAAATACATTGTATTGGGGCAGTTGGCTTTGATATAGGAAAAAAATGAAGTCCCCTTATTTATTCTATACACAAAATAAGTTCCAGCTAGATCAAAGAGTTAAAAATGTACAAACTTTATAATTGTTAGAAGCAAACATAGAATGTCTTCTTGATTTTAGAAAAGGTAAAATTTTCTTTTATAAAAAGTGTAATTTCTTCTAGTTCTTTCATGCTTTTATTTTTGGATTTAATTCTTTAATCCATTTGAAAATTATCTTGGTAAACAATATAAGGTAAGGCTCTATGTTCATTTCTCCAAATTGTCAGCCAGTTTTCCTAGCACTGTTTCTTGAATAATTTATCCTTTTCCCCTGTTTTCAAATGATATTTTTATCATGTACAAAGTCATTATGGATTCTTAGTTTTTTTTGGGGGGGAGACTTTCCTGCCTTATTATCAGACTGATTTAATTATTATAGCTTGATGACATATTTTAATACATAGTGCATCTTTTTAGTATATGCGCTGCCGAAGCATGCACATGGTGCATCTTTTTAAGAAAATAAATTTGTTCGGTTTTTCAATATTCAGGGCTCATTTTAAACCTTAAAAGCTTTGTTAGTGCCTGAATAATTTATGAATACTATGAAGTCATTTTCCTGAATCTCACTCAAATCTAGAGAAAGGTATCTGAGAACCACTTTTTAAAGCTGAAGTATTTATAAACATGTAGTATATGTGTGTGTGTTCTTTAGATCAAAAAGATCCAGGTTACAGAAGAAGGAAATAAATTTTGAATTAGTTGTATTATTTCATAATTTTAGTATACAACTTTTGAATTAAAAAAAATATATAGTTGATGCCTGTGGCGGGGAAACAAGTCAAGGAATTGATTTACAGCTTTTATAGACAGGGAAAGATCTAATTTGCATTCTTTTCCTAAGTTTCAGTATTGGTATGAGAGAGATTATGTTAATGTATATATTTTAATATCTAGTGTAAATACACCTAAGAATCAAACTAGGGTACTGTTTTTACCCATGTAATTTTTATATCAGTATGTAGATTACTATCCCTACTGAAAGCCAATGCATTATTTAAGCTGCAAGCTATTGTGGAATTTGAGAGACCAAGTTCAAGTTACTTTCAAAACTAAAATATGATATCTGTTTCTCAGGTAACTTTTTTAACCTTCATTCTTCTTGAGAAGGCAGACCAGATGGCGACAAGTTTTTAAAATAGACTGGGTTACCCATATAGAAGTTGGGAAAACTCTCAGGTTTTTTTGAAAAAAAGTTCTTCAATTGAGTACATGAATATTGGGAGCATAGAAACTTCTAAAGAAGTGTTCTATGATTATTAGATAATTGGTCACATCCAATTATCAAATTGGAATGAAATTACAATAATATTCATTGTCTCAGGAAGCACCAATGTGGGTGACCAGCTTCCCACTGGGCAGCTGTCAGTGGTGCCTTGGCGACGGACTGGGGTGAAATACACGAACAATGAGGCCTATTTTGATGTGATTGAAGAGATTGATGCCATCATTGATAAATCAGGTAGGTGCTTTTACTCTCTTCTCAAAACTAGAAAATATAATGCTTGCTATTAGAATGATTCCCTATTCAAAATCATTCATTTTAACTTGGTGCCTACTTTGTGTCAGGCATGGTGCTAGGTATTGGGAAATGGACTTAAATATTATGATGCAGAAGACATAATTGTATATGTAGAAACCCTTAAAGATTCAACAAAAAACTGTTAGAACTAATATAACAAATTCAGTAAAGTTGCAGGATAAACAATCAACATAAAAATCAGTGGCATTTCTATATACAAACAACAAACTACCCTAAAAGAAAATTAATAGTCTCATTTACAATAGCGACAAAAGAAAATACTTAGAAATAAACTTAACCAAAGAGATAAAAGATTTGTACACTGCAAATTATAAAATGTTAATGGAGAAAATTGAAGACACAGATAAAGGGAAAGACAGTTGTATTCATGGATAAAAAGAATTAATATCATTATAATGTACATAAGACTCAAAGTGATCTACAGATTCAGTGCTTTCCCCATCAAAACCCAATGGCATTCTTTACAGAAATAGAACATTCCTAAAATTCATATGGAACCAAGAAAGATCCCAAATAGCCAAAGCAGTCTTGAGCAAGAACTATAAAGCTAGAGACTTCACACTTCCAGATTTCAAAGTATATTATAAAACTACATTAAAACAGTATGATACTGATATAAAAAGAGACATATAGACCCATGAAACAATACAGAGCTCAGAAATAATACCACACATTTACAATCAATCATCAATAAAAGTTCTAAGATTATACAGTGGGGAAAGGATAGTCTTTTCATTAGTTGTGTTGGGAAAACTGAATATCCACATAGAGAAGAAGAAAATTGAACCCTTATCTCACACCATATGCAAAAATCAACTCACAATGGATTAAAGACTTAAAACATGAAATCGTAAAGCTACTGGAAGAAAAGATAGGGGAAAAGCCTCTTGACAATGTTCTGGGCAATGATTCTTGGATATGACACCAAAAGCAAAGGCAACAAATGCAAAAACAGACAAGTGGGATTGTATCAAACTAAAAAGCTTCTGTACAATGAAAGAATCAACAGAGTGAAAAGCAACCTACAAATGGGAGAAAATACTTGTAAACCATATATCTGATAAGGGACTGATATCCAAACTATATAAGGGGTCATATAACTCAATAGCAAAACAAAACAAAAAACAATCTGATTAAAAAGTGGGAATAGGATCTGAATAGACATTTTTAAAAAGAAGACATACAAATGACCAGCAGGTGTATGTAAAGCTATTCACCATCGCTACTCATCAGGGAACTGCAAATCAAAACTACAATGAGATATTGCCTCACACCAGTTAGAATGACCATTATAAAAAGGCAACAGATAAATGTTGGCGATGATATAGAGAAAAGGGAACACTTGTACACTATTGGTTGGAATGTAAATTGGTATAGCCATTATGGAAAATGGTATTGAGGTTCCTCAAAGTATTAAAAAATAGAACTACCTTATCATCACTTCTGGTTATATCCAAAGGAAATGAAATAAGTATCTCAAAGAGATATCTGCAATTTTATATCCATTGCAGTATTATTCACAGTAGCCAGAATATAGAAACAACCTAAATGTCTGTCGATGGATGAGTGTGAGGTAGATACATACACACCCAATGGAAAGATTATTCAGTCATAAAAAGAAGGAAATCCTGCCATTTTTGACATGGATGAACCTGGAGGGCATTATACTAAGTGAAATAAGCCAGATACAGAAAGACTAATACTGCATGATTTCACTCATGTAGAATCTAAAATAATCAAACTTATAGAAGCAGAGAGTGGAATGGTGGTTTGCAGGGGTTGAGAAGAGGGGGAAGTGGGGAGATATTGGTTAGAGGATACAAAGTTCTAGTTACGCAAGATGAATAAATTCTGGAGATTTAATGTCTAGCACAGTAACTATAATTGTATTGTGAAAGGATTCTTCTCATTGAGTTAAATTAACACATCCTCACCTCACATGTGTATTGTATACTTGAAATTTGCAGAGAACATAGATCTTAAGTGATCTCACCACATACACAAAAAAGTCACTCTGAGGTGATGGATATGTTAATTAGCTTGATTGTGGTGATAATTTCACAATGTATATCAAAATATTAAGCTGTACACCTTAAATATTACAATTTTTATTTGTTAACTATACTTCAATACTGCATGATTTCACTCATGTAGAATCTAAAATAATCAAACTTATAGAAGCAGAGAGTGGAATGGTGGTTTGCAGGGGTTGAGAAGAGGGGGAAGTGGGGAGATATTGGTTAGAGATAAAGGAGACAAAGTGGGTTAAAAAAAAGAAAGACATAGTTTATTGTCTGCTTATTTAAATCTAGTGAGGGAGAGAGAAAACTAAAAAGGTGGAGCATAAGAGAGATATCCCACCTATCCAGAACAAAGTGTAAAGAGATGATAGTGTTTATGCTTCATCAGTAGTATGAGTAGAAGTTATTAAGACCTACATAGATTTGGGAGGAAAGTATGTACAAAACACCCTAAGATGAGTAAAATATTATTGAGAAATAAACTGGTTTAGTATAACTGGATTGAGAGGCATAAAAAAAGAAAAATGATGAGGCTTTAAAACTAGGCATAGCAGCTTTTCATATTGGTCCAAAATTAGAAATAACCCAAATGACCATCAATAATAGAAAAGATAAATAAATTTTGATATAGTCATACAATGAAATATTGTACAGTAATGAAAAAATGAACTGCCAATACACCCAACATCATAAATGAATCTCAGTGTTGAGCAAGAAACTCAGTTGCATAAAGTTTTATACAGTTGTAACATTTATGCGAAGTTTGAAAACAGGTGCAACAGCCTGTTTTCAATAGAAGTCCATTTTAGGGACTCAGATTAAGTAGGTTGGGTAAGGAGAGCATGCTGGGATGCTAAAAGGATTCCATATCTTTGTGTGGGTGGTATTTGCAGGTGTGTACATATGTAAAAAATCCAGTATTACAGAGAATGTTGGAGGGACTTCTTTAAGAAGAAAAAACATGTATCAAAAACAGGAATAAAGAATGGTAACAACTACATTCCTATCAATAAATACCTTAAATACAAAAGAATTAAGTGCTCCGACCAAAAAATAGAGTGGCTGAAAGGATAAGAAAACAAGACCGCTACATATACTGTCTACAAGAGACTCAATACTTCAGATTAAAAGACACACACAGACTAAAAGAAAGGAGATGGAAAAAGATATTGCTTTAATGGACCTAGAAGGTATTTAAGTCAGACAGAGAAAGATAAAGACTATATGATTTCACTTATATGCAGAATCTAAGGAATACAAAGAACAAACTAATCAAAAACAGACTCCCAAATATAATGGACAATTTGGTGGCGGACAGAGGGGAGGGGAGTTTGGGGGGCTGGGAGAATGGAGTGAAGGGTTAAAGAAGTACAAATTAGTAGCCAATGGATGGACACAGGGATGTGGAGCATGGCATAGGGAATGCAGTTAGCATTAATACTTTAGCTAGGTGAAGGGACAGAGGAGAGAGGGAGCAATTGTGGGGGATTGTTTTATAAACTATATAGATGTCTAACCAATGTACTGTATACTTGAAACTAATTAAAATAAATAAATTTAAACGAGAAAGAAAAGAACAGACCTACTTCAGTAAATGCCTGTCATGTCATTACTTTCATTTTTCTCTCGATTTGGTCTTCTCTAGAAATCTGAAGGACTACACAGATCGAAAAGCTCTAACTGATACGCAGTTAATGGCTGGGAAAGAGGCAGGGGTGTTGAGTCAGTGCCTTGGGTCTGCCCCCGACTGCCCAGGGCCTGGCACCTGTTCTGGGGAACAACATTCAAGTAAGAATATCTTTACAGGACATGCTCTACTCTACCAGTAAAGCTGAGGGAAAGGAGAAAAAAAGTTAAACAAAAATAAAAAACAACTAGATGGCTAGATCATGAAGAGTCTTGTATGCCATTTTAAGGAGGCCTCTTTGGAACAATTTAAAAGTTTTAAGTTGGGGAGTAACTTAAACAGATTCATACTGTAGAACTATCAGTCTAGCTGCATTATGAAGAATGGCTTGAAGTGGGATAAGACTGAAGACAGGGAAAGCAAGGAGGCTATTGCTGAAGTGGCAAAATACAGATGTACACAATGGTAGTGAGGATGGAGAGCAATGAGTAGATTTAAGAGACAGAAGTCATATAAAAGAGAGGAATTGATCACTGAAGAAGTAGAAGTGGCCAAGGATTTTCTTTCTAGCTTAGGCAACAGGATAGATTATATCATCATGAAGATGTGGAAAATATTAGGAGCAAGTGCAGGAATGAAGACAATGAATTCACTCTGACATGTAGAGTTCAAAGTGCCCCCATGACATCTATATTGAGCTGTCCAATTAGCTGAACTGGGAAAAAACACCAGGAAATAATTGGCCATTAATGAAAATTGAAGCCTTGGGAAGTAGGGCAAGTAACCCTAGTAAAGAATGTTGAGTGAAAGAAAGAGCAATTCAGAACTGTGAAAAAGCATAGACATTTAAAGGATGTGAAAAAAAAGAGAACCTTGAAGAAGGCAACGAAGAAGAGGAGCTAGAAAAGTAGAAAACTCGGAGAGGGGAGGATTTTGAAAAGGAAGAAGGGGTCAAAAGTGATAAATGCTACAGAGAGATTCTCTAAGGTAAAGACCAAAGTGTCCCTTCGATTTAGCAGCAGAGCTCATTGGTGACCTTAGGGAGAGAAGTTTCTGGTAGGAAATTTTTTGAACCATTGGTTAAGATGATGATACTCTGTTTGATTCTGGTACTAGATTGAAAAGTCTTTTAGGTTAATAACTATGTTATTAATCTTTTACCCCCTATTCATCTTAGCATCTCATATTTGATATGCAGTTGATCAATGTTTGGAAGGATGGACAAATAGATTAGGTGGATGAACTGGATGGATGGACACAAGGAAAAAAGAAAGATGAGGGAGGGAAGAAGGAAATAAGTTGGGAAGAAAAAGAGAAAGTTAAAGAGGGGAGGAAGGAAATAAGTTAATTGAGAAGGACAGAGAAGAGTTCAGTAACCTCTTACCTTCTTTTTGTCTTGTTCCTGTCTCAGGTTCCACAATTACTGCTGAGATCCAGGGGGTGATTGATGCTTGTGTCAAGCTGACAGGATTTTTTCCTTACACTTTCATTCATGGTAAGCCTGAACCAGAGATTCAGTTCTTGGGATGGGAAATTAAATGCTTTTGAAAAGACAGAGTGGTGAGAATGAAATGAAACAAGAAGAAATAATTAAGGACAGCCACAAAGCTTGTCGGGCTTAAATTTTGTATAAGTAACTACAGACTCTGTGTGTGTGTGTGTGTGTGTGTGTATGTGTGTGTGTGTGTGTGTGTGTGTGTGTGAACAAAAACAGCATCGAAATTACTCCTGAAAAAAAAAATATGGGTGTTAATTCCTACTTCTTGGTTTTCCTTGCCTCGTAACCATAGAATCCCAGGTTGCTAGATGATGTCAGCTTCCATCCTTGTGTTCGTTTCAAGCGCTGGGAATCTGAGCGCATCCTTTCCTTCATCCCTCCTGATGGAAACTTTCGCCTGCTCTCTTACCATGTCAGCGCGCAGAAGTAAGCAGTCCTTATAATTAAGAATGGAATGTGTGTGTGTGTGTGTGTGTGTGTGTGTGTGTGTGTGTGTGTGTGTGTAAACAGTATCCATAGTGTTTACGAACTCCAGCTCTGCCTGAGTTCAAATTCCAGCTTCTACACTTACTAATTGGATAACTTCAGATGAGTTGCTTAACCTTTTTGTGTCTGTTTTCTTATCTGCAAGTTGAAAATAATAAAAGTACCTTGTTATTAGGATTAAATAAGAGAACCTAAATAGTGCTTATTACAAAGTAAGTGCTCATTAAGTTTGCTGCTATTATTTTTGTTGTTTTTATTATATGTCTAAACAAGAACTTCTTTTGTTAAATTGGAATCTAGTACACCTGTATTCAGCCTGCCACTCCCCCAACTCAAAAGAAGCATTAAATTATGCAGTGAAAACCATAAAATGGACTGGTTTTTGGTCTTGAACATTCTCTGTAATATGGAGCCTAGGAGTTTCTGGAATCCCTTAGTAGAAGGTACATAGTAGAAGGTACGTGGACTGAAGAGAGCCATAAGACCTCAGTACCACCAATACTTTCTTGTGTGATTTGGAATAAGTAATTTAGAAAAATATCTGAGTGCTTGAGAGCAAAGGCTCTGGAATCAGACTGCTTAGACTTAAACCCCACCTTTAGTACTTATGATATGTAACCTTGGGCAATTTACTGAACCTCAGTTTAGCGTAAGGATATGAGTATTCATCTTTAAAATTAGGACAGTAGCATTACCTACTTCATCATTATTGGGAGGATTAAATAAATGAGATAATAGAGATAAAGCTTTTAGGCTAGTGACTGGCTCTCAAGAAGTGTTCAATAGATGTTAAGAACTGTTATTACTTTAGTATTATTCTGTGGCTTCTCTATTTCCTCTTCTGTCAAATCATGACAGTGTACCCTACTTCATAGGCTGTTTGGAAGGATCAGACAAGGTCAGGTAAAAGCTCTCTCAAGAAATTATAAAATGTCAATGATGTATGAATATTACTCTTTCAAGTACAAATAATTATTCATCACGTGTCATCCAGTAAAACAGAAATATGGTGGCTGCTAATTTTTGTTCATAATGTCTTTCTCATACTAGACTTAGTATATTCTTTAATTTGCTGATATTATTCAGAGTCATTAGAAGAGTTAGTTTACTTACTAAGACAGCATCTTAGCTTTACAAAAAGAAAAAAAATCAAAGATTACTAGGGATTTTTTTCCTGTGCTTAATTTTTAAGATAAAGAGTAAGGAAGTAGGTCAGGGAGGAAAAGCTGCCAACAGGGCAAGAAAGGAGGAAAGGTTGCCGTTTTTCTCGTAATTAATGAAATGGGCTTTTGTCTGTCTCTTTTTCAGTCTGGTGGCAATTCCAGTGTATGTCAAACATAACATCAGTTTCCGGGACAGTAGTTCACTTGGACGCTTTGAAATAACGGTGGGACCTAAACAGACGATGGGGAAGACCATCGAGGGAGTGATTGTCACCAGCCAGATGCCCAAAGGAGTCCTGAATATGAGCCTCACTCCCTCTCAGGGAACACATACATTTGACCCAGTTACCAAGGTAGGAGACTAAGGAGGTTATGAATTGCTGATGTTAAGTAGAAGTAATTCTGCAAGAGCTCTCCACACAGACCTTATACCTTGCTGAAAGGAGACATTAGTCAAAGGGGTGTTGTTTTCTCCTTGAGATAATTTATGGAAACAAATAGTGTTCTCTGTTGAAAAAAAAAAAAAAAAAACCCTGGACGCAGCTTATAATATTATGAACAGATGCCCTGAGCTTAGAGCTCAGCCACCTCACATTAAGGGTTCCACGGAAACTTCTGCTTGTTTCTTTTCTTTGAAGATGCTCTCTTGGGATGTAGGCAAAATAAATCCCCAAAAGCTACCAAGTTTGAAGGGGACCATGAGTCTTCAGGCTGGAGCTTCCAAACCAGATGAGAACCCCACAATTAACCTGCAGTTTAAGATCCAGCAGCTGGCCATTTCTGGTAAGTGCCTCCCAGCTTTGGTGGCTTTGAAGAGAAGAGAGACGGCTTTCTCCTGTAAGGCATAGACATCAGAAAACCTTCCGGTGGCTCCCTATTCACAAAGTTTAATTACTTGATATGTAATCTTTAGTAAAAATCTTTTCTAACACATTTCTGGGGGAAAGTTTATAATCCTTACTTTGAAGTTGGCTTAAGTGACCTGAATAAAAATGTCTAAGATGGTTGAGAAAAACAATATTGGTAGGCGTTGGTGTTCCCAGGCAGTCGTTGAGTCATCCTGCGGTTGTTAATTTGAGGTTGCCAAGGTTTTCAGTATGGGAATGCTTCTGCACTCTCAGCCTGTAACTGAAAAGAATAATTTTCCCTCCTTATCCTCAATTTCAGAAGACTTTCGTATTGGCTTTTTATTGTCATTTAGAACCCCTGGGCCTATCCAAGTCAGTCCACTATAGTCTACACTTCTTAGAATAATAATAATAATAATCGTTATGACTTATTGGGCATATACTAAGTGCCAGGCACTGTTTTAAGCTCTCTTCATCTATTTTCTTATTTAATCCTTAGAACAATTCTGTAAGATAGATAGGAAATGACTTTAGCTTTATATGAAGTTCCTATTATTAATTTACCAACAGACCTTATCTAATTTAAGTGATTAGAATTCACTTAAATTATAAGCTCTTTCATCTTAAAACACTTAATAAACTTTAAAGCTCTATACAGTATAAGATATTTTTTGCTTAGTACAGTGAGAATATTTAGGAAGCACCTATTTATTAATTCATTTTTCATTATTCAGTTATAATTTATTTCATTATTAATTTATTGATTTGTTATTATTCATATATTCAATTCAATAATTTAAAAAATATACAATGTTCCTATTTTTTCCTTACCTTCATTTTAGTCTGCATATAACTTTCTGCGCTTTCTACTTCAGGAACAGGTGGATAGCTTTGTGTTGGAACAATTTTTTTACTATCCGTGTATATATTAAGAAGGAAGAATCTATCAACTTCATATGAGTGATATTAATAAATGAAACTATTTTTCTGCTTCATTGTTATAAACTGTCTCTATCCCACTGATCTCTTTGAATTAAAATAAATTTAAACAGTTATGATACCTGCTTCTTTTGAATAATGCTTATGTCATATTCTTCCTTCCTTCTTTCTCTCCAGGACTCAAAGTGAACCGTCTAGATATGTATGGAGAAAAGTACAAACCCTTTAAGGGCATAAAATACATGACCAAAGCTGGAAAGTTCCAAGTCCGAACCTGAAGGGAGAGTTTCGTGAAGGGAACAGTCACAAACACTTTTCATTTCTTACTTGTCTAAAAGTAGAAAATATCAGCCCATCCCCTAGGTCAGTCCCCTTCTGGACCCATCCACTCCCTTTTTTCCTTAGCCTTCAGTGCCATGGAATTAATCAAGAGAGAAAAGGGTCACCAGGGAGAACTGGATAGAACTGAAAGAATCAGCACCAACTCAGTTCTTAAGGAAGAGCTGTGTGATGGAGGCCAGAGACACTTGGTACCATATTCAACTTTTTAACGTGGTTTCCATAAGAAAATATTAGCATTTATTTCTTGCCTGGCTTTAATTATCTAAAGCCAATGAAAGACTTTTTTGTTATTGTTTTTTAAGGTGGAAAGAAAGATTAGAAAGAAAGAAGTAAAGAAAGCTTGGAGGAAAATGAATGTTAGTCAAGAAAAGGCCAGTTAAGGATCTGATCTGTGAGGGAAAGAAAGAGGAGACAGTATTAAAGAATTACGAGGACACCAAAGTGGAAGTGGCAAGAAAAGCAATGAAGGATGGTTGGAAGGAACAGAGTTAGCTTCTTTCTGATCCCTGTACATTTGTGTATCAAAAAAAGAAAACAAAACATTTGTACTTCTAGCAATGAACTAGAAACCTTTTAAATTCAAGTCCGCTATTGACGTGGAAAGCCAGTAGAATCAGATTTTCCCTTAAAGACCATGACTCTATCGCACCAGTTAGCAGACACTAACTGCTGCTTGCCGTTAGCTCTTGGTCTTGTCATCTTCAGTGAGGAGGTGACCTTCCCTATTCCCTGTGGTGGTTGTCTGAAATGCCTCTTTCCCCAACTCAAAACGGTTACACTCACTTTACAGAATTCACCAGCCTTTCCCCTGTTACCTGCGGAGAATTTCAAAAAAGCCAATCCCATAACCGCCAGATTTCAGATGTCATAGTATTGGAGTGTAGATGTCAGTTCACTCCTCATGAAGGTGTACCACAACTATAACCCAGTGATTTCTTATTACCCCTTGTCAGTGCTGGACTGCCACAGGAGTCTAAGCGGGTCTATCTGAAACTTTTCCATCAGTCTATCTGAAACTTTTCCATCAGTAACCCTAAGCAAAAAGAAGGCATCGAGCGCATGGGTCATCCTTGAAGCTGTTCAGTAGAGTTATTTCCTCAGAATCTTTTGTACTCTACTGTGTAATGTATTTATTAACAATAGATATCTACCAGTCCATTTTCATTTTAAGGCAAAAAAAAATCCCCTAAATCTTTGACTAAAATTAATGTTATAGGAAGATGGGCCATGTTGATCACATCTAACCCAGTTAAATAAACACGGCAACTGAAAGGGTACCTCAGGGTTTCCCAGTGAGCAGTTTTTATCCGAGTTCAGTATGTCTGTTACCCATTTAAATATTCATATAAAAGACAAGTTTTTTTTAATATTACAGCTTAAGCAGTGATATTGTAGCTCTACTTCATGCATGGAGAAAAATGAAGACCTAGTATCTCCACACCCTACAATTTTTCACTAAAGCCCTGTTACCAAATACTTAAGAAATTATTTTTGCTAGTTTTATCTTCCTACTTCCTGGACTTGTTTTTGCTGCAGAGTAATATTGCTTTGTGGTCTTCCTCTGGGATAAATTGTGCTTTATACAATCAGATGTGCTCCGTTCTCCATCAGTCCAGAATTTGTCCGGGATTGTTATGTCCTGTATACACACCCACCATGGTAGAGGAAACGTCTCCACCTATGGATTCCACAGTACTTGGAATTACTTCTGGAGCTCTGAAGGATTTTAAAATTTTATGGGAAACGACCAATCTTGGTCCCTGAATCTTTTTATTTCCGTAAGTCAGTCCAGCTTTTTTATTTCCTCCAGGGAAGAACTTAAGGAAAAATAAAGTCTCTAGGATATGGGACCTGCAGGCCTTAGCATACAAAGTAACGATGACGTCACCTGTGCAGTGGGCCCTGGAGTGCAGGGGAGCCTCACTGCCGCCACCCAGCAGTATGTGAGCACACGTAGTACAGGGCGTCTTGATCGAGCTGTTCGATTCCATATGTATTTAACGTGCAGAAGTATCTTCTCTGTTAAAAATCTTAATAAAGTTGTGTTTTACCAGTCCTCTGTGTCCTAAGTGTTTTGTTACTAGGACGCACGGTAATGCTGTGCCAAGCATGCCCCAATAAGAGCAGTAGGTAATAAGTCAATTCAGGAGGATCTTACTACTTTTTTATTTTTCAACCAGCAGATCTAAAGCCATATGTATAGTTTGATTCTCTAGTCACCTCCGGAAGATAGGGAACGTTGGTATTAATGCCATTTTTAAGGTTGTGAGAACGAAGGTCCAGATCAATCAAATTATTTTTCCCAAGTGTGTAAAAGAGAAAGCCTTTAAAGCTGTTGGTTTCTGTTCTGAAGCTTTCCCCATTCTCTTAATCTTCTTTGTTGATTAATTCAAGCATGAAACAGGCTTCAAGGTCCGAGGCATCTTAACTCTAGTAGATTTCTTGGATGGTAAGGCATTGGAAGTCTTTGTAAAGCGTAGGCACCGGCGGTCATCCCCTATCTGTGCTATTTTTTTTTTCTATAAATCCCTCATGGCCATAAAGAGATTTTAAGAGGTCTCTTTGTTGACTAACACAAATGTTTAATGTCTATCACTATTCCTGGACTTGTTTTTGCTGCAGAGTAATCCTGGCTATCTTAGTCATTGTTAATATCTCTTCCCTTGGCCTGGCTGGCTGTAGCATTGGAATGTGACCAGGTATATGTTATATTTGTACTTCCCGTAATGGCCAGTAGGTGGTGACTCATTGCCAACAATGAGATTAATTTTCTAATTAGAATTTAAAAAGGGGAATTGAATTTGAAACTCTCAAACTTTCCCCAATATCCCAAGTACTCGGGATTGTGTGAGTCATTGGCTTTTGAAGTTAAACATGAAACCAAAAGTTTCTGACACTCTTTTTAATAATCAGACTTAAGATTGGGACTCTAAGAAGAAAGCAGTTTCAATCATCTGCGTTTCTCTAGTCTTCACCCATTAAGACTAATTGCACAGTTACCTGAGAATCTATCTTGTTCTTTGGGTCTATTAGCATCTATTTGTTTTATTAACCAGCTGGGGGTAATGAAGAAATACTGTTTAATTCTCCCTTATGCCCATTTCCTTCCCCTGACATGTTCCAGACATTTTATCCCGAATTTCCTAACCCGCGCGCTGGGTAATGATGTGTTGCTCTTTGTGTTTTAGTATAATTCAAATGAGCCTATTTTGCAGGGCCAGGACTGCCTTGTAGCTCAGGCAGTGGCCTCTTCTGAGCTATTGTCTTCATCCAGTCTGTGGTTTCCAGGACTTCACTCAGAGGAATGCTGGGGCCTTTTAACTTTGCATTTCCATCCCAGGAGGGCTAACTGCTTCAGTTCATTTCATTAAGCTTGTCATGCAAGGGGGAGGGCAACGGAATTTTTTTTGCTGGAGATGTAGTATCTAGGAGTCTTGTTTACTGCTATCCTCCAGCCATGTTTTTCTGAAATGGCAGAGATGCACATCTATTTAAAATAAAATCTGCCATTTGCATGGAGAAACTTGTAAATGAGCAGCCTGAAGTCAAGAAATCTGACTTAAATTTCTGTGAGCTGCATTTATTTAACTGGTCTGTCTAGCGACTTCAACATTTCAGGGACGTTGGATTTTTTTCCCCCTGAATCAAACTCTTTGGCCTTAGAGAGTCTCACTACTTTTCTTCTAAGAACCTCTAAACTGAGCAATCTGACAACATCTCCAGAGAGAGAACTTTGACCACCTTTTCTCTTCTCCAAGAAACTGTCAGCAAACAACCACCAGCAAGCATTGCATCAGCAGATTTATTCTTGGATCCGGGGTGTCAGTGTTAACTGTCAGGCATCAGCCAGGAACATGGGTTTATATCTCAAGAATGGCTGAGAAAGTAATCTAAGAGAAGCAGAAAGCAGCATTCCTTACGTAACATACTTGTGTGGACTGGTCTGGAAGTCAATTCTCTCTGATAGGAAAAGAAAATGGAATGGGGAAAAAAATTGACCTAAATACTAGCTTCCAGTCTGAACCAACAATTGGGATGTTGCTATTTTAGCAGGTCATGCTTAGGTTCTTCTTATACCCTCATTTCTCCTTTCTGTTATGTGGTTGCTATCTAGGGAGTCTCCCTACGTGATCTGCTTTCTCTCCAACCACCACTTACTTAATATTCCTAAGGTGTGCTCAGTTCTTCACTTCCCTTAAGCAAAACTTCAGTGGCTCCCCGTCCTCTACAAAATTAAGTCCAAACTCAGTTTGGCATTTAAAATCTCTATAACAAATGCCAACCAACATTCTTCTTCACAACTTCACTTCAACATGTATTACTCAATACCCACTGCCTGTTTTGCTCTCCAGATCTTTCTGTTTTCATGCAGTGGTATTCTTTGCCTTGAGAATGTCTTTCCCACGCCTCTCTGCCAGTCCAAATCTTGCCCAATTTTTGAAAGATCTACCTAATTCTACTCTTTCCTTAAGATTCCCTTGTCCCTTCTACAACCGAGTTCCAGTAAAAGTTTTTCTCTGATGTTTTGTGGTCCATGTCTGTTCTACCTCATTATTTCTCTAAATACCTTATTTTCCTGTCAAACCAAGAACTCCTTTCTCCTCCCCCTTTTACTGTCCACAGCACCTAGCACATTGTCTTGTATGCAGCAAGTGTTCTGTGTATGTTGAATGAATGAAAGGAAATATTTGAATTGATTTTAAAATGAACATGAATAAATCAGCCGTGGGATACTGTATGTGTAACAACTATTCCACTCTGATTTGGTAAAATATGTGAAAAATATATCTGAATTTTTTATTTCAGTGCAGTATAATACAGATCTGTGGCAACAGAAAGTAAAAACTCAAATGGATTGATATAAATATGCTAAAGTATAGTTTATCAGTTATTAAAATGATACAATTCTTCTATTTTAAAGTTTATAACGAATAAAGATTTACACTGTACACAAAAGGAATTCCTTCTAAGAGCTGTAGAGTGAAAAAGGGGAAAACCAAATAATTGATTTAAGGGATGGTTTTGAGGAACATGATCTGGCCAGCCAGCCCATTCCTTATTAGGAGGCCCAGGCCCCTGTTGGGCTTCCTCATGACTATCAATAGACATTCTATTTCTAATGTGATGCTTCTTTCTTGAAAGATCTGGTTATTTTTTTTTTTTTACTACAGATACATGCTTTTATCTTTGTGGTCTAATTTCCAGAGCTTCTCATATTGACAGATTAGGAGGTTGGGCTTTTGTTTCACCTCTCCTTTGCCTTAGATGGCAGTAGTCTTGGAGGGGTTGGCATTTATCTGTCTTCCAATCTGACAGACATTTTGAAATCAGAACTTAACCCCTGAAAACTTCCAAAATGGGAAGTACTTGTGAAAATATATCCTCTCCCCTTTCCTATCAGATCTCCCCGCACCCCACAACTTGTACTGTGTGATGGCTCATGGAGAAATCATTGTAAAGAAGCACTCCGCCTTGATGTGTCTTCTGAAGTGGAAGAAGGCAGGGTGTGCTGTGATTTCAGGGAACTGGGTATTCTTGGTCATGCGCGCGTGGTGTCTTGAATCCAGCCTAGGTAATTAGCAACCTTGGTGTACACACCCGGAACATCTTTCTGCCCACAGCCAATGCCCCAGCTGATGATGCCGACCAAAGTCATGTGCCTGTCACTCTCACACACCAAGGGGCCTCCAGAATCACCCTGTAAGAGAGAGAACAGGTTGGCAAAAACTGCAGGCTCTTTGGGAGGAAGTTAAGGATACTGTCTGTAATATCAATATTTTACTCTTCAAAGTACTTAGTTCACAGAGGGAAGTTTTTATCTCAATGATCTTGATCCTCTAAAGAATTAGGTTATATCTACCTTGTAAAGTAGAATTGAGATAATTGCTCAGATATTTCAGCAACCGCCCTCCCCACC